AAGGAATGATAACCCCGACTGAGCTAATGGTATACGCTGACGGGCCACCAGTGAGAGATGATAGGTGAGAATAAAAAGGCAGGTCAGTTAGTCTATCGTGATAAATTCACTTGGAATAGAACACGATGGTTTCCAGGGGGAACTGCGAGGAGGTTGACTTAATAAGGTATATTGCTAACAATGGAACTAGTTTACAACCCCCCACCCCCATTAGACCATTAGACATATCAGGTATATCAGTATTCAAATATATAACTATACATATATTTCTAACCCTTGCTTTTACGTGGATGTCGTAAAAGGCGACTAAGAGAACTTAATAATCGAGCAATGGACAGCAGCGACCCTCTTAAAACATCACCAAAACCGAAGGTCAATCCGCCTAACAAGCGTAACAATTACTGGCAAAACCTTTCTTATGGAGTAGGCCTATATCCAGCAGCGGACTTGCTGATATAATCTGTAGAAAATTAATCATAAACAATATTATCTATTGGCCTTTTTTTTTTATTGGATGAAAATGGAGTGGTAACCCCGCCTGCGCTAATGGGATACGCTGGCGGGGCACCAGTAGTGCTAAGGGTGATCGATGAGGATGAAAACAGGCCAGTTAGCCCATCATGATGAATTCATCAGGAATTAATAATGATAGTTTCCAGGGCGAATCGGGAGGTCGACCTGGTTGGATATATTGCTAGCAATGGGATTCTCAGTCTCTATTACTAACAATCCCTTTTCTCCCCTATCTATTGGTACTTGACCAAGTTATAAAAAGAAACTTACATAACAATTATTAGATGCAGTCCTATCCACTCGTAGGTACCTAACTGGTAAAGATTAAAGTAGGATTTATCAAAAATATCACACACTGCTCACACCGAAAATCACCACTTGGCCAATGGAAAGCGCGGGAATACTGTTGACTTTTCCTCTCTGACAGCGAATTTCGCGGGAAACACGCCGCCACGCCCTCTCGTGGCATATTCGCTTTCTTATTGGGTGAGATATCAAATGTCACTGAATTTTCCTACCGAGGGATGTTTCATGGATTTTTCCATACCTACAATACAATGAATTGCATATTTTTTATATTCTTAATTGTTAAAGAGGTTTTATTTTTTAAAAATATGCCACCCTTATAGGGGCAACACTTAGATTATATAGATAAAGCATAGAGCCTCAAAAACAGGTTAAGTTTTTGTCAGTTAATTGTCAAATTAGCTGACTTGTTTCTTTTTTATTTGTGTTCTATATACTTAGGCATACAATGTATTATTTAATAATTATTAAAATGAGTGTTTACTTATTAAAACCTAACTACGTAAGTAATAATTATATGGATTTTTTTTTTATTTTAAAGTGATGAGATGATCAATTCCCTACAGTGTAAGGGAATTCAAGGTTAAGTACTAAAGTACTAGACGTAGGTACTTACCATAGACTTAGTATAATATACTTACGGTACTTACAGTCACGTGTTTATATACGTGACTGTAAGCTTTAGGTATATATATGAAGATTTTGCTCTCTATATTATTAATGACTTAATTTTGTTTTAATAATAAGTAGATAGGTAGGTATCTAATTTAACTAACTACATTTGTTAAATTGACAATAACATAACCGTATTAATTGGTAGGTTTATTACTTTAATAAAATTATAATAAATTAATTACTATACATATTAATATATAGTATTTGCATATTCAACAGACTTCAAAAAGACGGGGATTTTCAATTCTGTTGTATTTTTTTATATTTCTTACCTCATAACTCCGTCAGTTGTAAACCGGAAAATTCTTCTTTTTTCTGAAAAGTTATACTTACAGGTCAGTCTCATAGAAATTTTATCAAAATCGGTTCAGTAATTTAGCTTTCAAATCCAAATAACTGGTTATGTCACAATTGAATTCGGTTTTTTGTGAGGCACAATCTTGAATTATTACAAAAATGGATAAAACGGGATAGTAACTCTGCTTGCGCCATAAGTTTATGATAAAAGGACTATCGTAATGAAATTACCAGGATAGGATGGAAACACGACGGTTTCTAAGAGTGTGGAGATTGACTTAACGTGATTTATATTGCTAGGAATGGGGCCGCTAGTCCCCGTTATTTACAATCTCTTCCTTAATTATCTAATAAGTATCTGTACAATTTGAAATTACATCATAAACATGCGTTGTCGATGCTCTTTATCTTTATTTCTTTTACGTCTTCTACATAATAAAAAAGAAAAGAAAATGTACTTATGCAACTTGATGAGTAGGCGTACATCTATTCAATTAAGTAATTAAAAAAAAATAGCTCTAAACATTTGTTGTTATCTAGATAGAGCCAGTGTTGTATAGTCTATCACAGTATTACATTATCTGTGGCCTGACTAAAACAAATTATCACCTGTCTACTAGCTTGATTACAACCCATATATTCAACAGACGAAGCAATACTGTGCTGTAATTGGAAACCGAATCCAATTCGCTCAAAATCTACGACGTCATTATTCTAAATGGCGGGACGACGCAACAGCGCGATGCCACAAATTAAAGCTTAAAATGGGCGCTTAACAGCTGACCCAAAATCGAAGTCCCCCTCGTGTCAGAGACGAAAAGCAACGGGGCGGAGCCGCGCCACGCCTCCGTCGAGTTCGCCGTGCGGCTAGACGCGTCTGTCGCGTCAAAAGTGCCCCGGACGCGACTTGGCGCACCCGCTTCGTGTGTCACAAGTTGAAAGGTTGACTTGCGTTCGAAATTTAATTTTTCAAATCTTTTTTTCTTTGGAAATAAAAGATTGCCAGGTACATTTTTATTCGAATAAAAGTGAGTTCATTGGTAATGTGCCTTGATAGTTTTTGTACCTACGATACGTGCACAATTAGAAAGTTTATTGAGAAGCTGTCCAAATTGCTTGTAGTAAGAATTTATATTATTATCAGGATAAATTATTCTTTTTATGTTGATATTTATTAAGTATTAATAATTTAAAAAGCAACCGAAAATTTTTTAATCTGTTAAACTACAGTCAACTTCATAATTTTGTAGCTAGTTAATTAGTTAATATGATTGCAACAAGGAAAATTATTTTCTATAACTCTTACAAGTGAATTTTTACATGTAACTGTAATAAAAAAAATATATACAATTAAACACAAGAACTAATACTTTGTATTTGTACATGCAGAATTAACAATATTAAGCTACAAGTATCATAAACATGATGATAAATAAGGAAAAAAAAAAAAATTATTGTTTAACTAGAAGATTACAGTTAATTAATTTTTTAAATCTGTAACGTTCAGTGTGCGGTGTGTGAGAAGGTGGACAGTGTGAGTGTGTGTATGTTTAAAGTGAGAGGAAGAGTGCTATTAATGTGTATACTATTTTTGTTTGTTTTTATGCTTCTATATATAAATCCAGTAACTGTATTGTTATATTCTGACTGTAATTATGACTGACTGATTGTAATTCTGGCTTGTAACACAGGTTCTTCTAAACCTACCGCAAGCCCCCGTCTCACACAAAATTGGTCTTCATATCAAATTGTACCTCAAGTTGTCACTTTATTCTACCTTTTGTGAAGAGAAAATAAACCATTCATTCATTCATTCTATATTGAATATATTCTATATTAAATGTTACGATATCACATACAAACAACCAAATAAATGCAAATAAAAGCTGCTACCTGTTTAAATCTAGATAGTTAAATCTATTTATCTATTATTTATAAAAAAAAAAAATATTTACAAAGTTAGTTAGCTAAGAATCGAACTTAAAATCCAATCAATGAAAGGCAGTATTTAATAAACTGCTCCAAAGTAAATCTAGATGTGTGAAATAAAGTAATAAATAAAAAAAATAAATATTTTTATACTGTGTTTCTATGGCATAAATGTATTATATATATACGGCCCATATTTCCTTAGAAAAAAAAATATTAAAGATATTTTAAAAAAAAATAAACTACATGCCTTTGATTTTAGCATTTGGGATATTTAAAATTTCTAATAAAAGTTGCTAGGAGCGTATTTCAATTAAATCAGCTTTGACACCTTAAGAAACTGAATTTGCTCCATACATATGTATGTTACGATATCAAATACAAACAACTAAATAAAGGCTTGAAATTTTAAAATGTTAACGTAATTATTGATACAAAATATATAGTTTAAAGATTTTTTTATTCAATAACTCATCTTTCGCTCTTAAAGTATATATAGAATGGAATAGAAAATATTTATTGGCCATAAAATTATTTCACAAGAACAACAATTATACGTGACCATAATTATTTTTATTTTATTTATTTTGAAGTAGGTACACCAACAGTATATGTATTATACATATATCGAATAACATGTTTTGTGTAGCATGCTAATATGCATACCTTTAGCAGGCGTACACAACATTGACTACAGATTACATGCGCATATAAATGTCATAATATAATTAATATAATAAATTAAATTCATAATTACATATTTTTTTGTTACAAAATTCAAATACAATAATTACAAAAGAGAAAAAAAAAATGGCCAAAGAGTCCTTGTCCTAGCTTTTAAGCCATCAGCGGGCACTTTACTCATTGTTAGTAGCTATATCAAGATATACATTCAATATTATTCACGATTGCATTATATAAACTATGAAATACATAACTGAGTGTGCTCTATTTATATTTATTTAACATATGTAATTATTGTAATAAATATACACCTATTATTTCTGACAGAAAAACTTGTATGCATATATAATAATTTAAAATTATTAATCTCAATAACATTTAACAGTTGATTAAATGACAAATAGTACATAATTATAATTTGTTTACAATATCAGAAATGAATTCTACCCATATAGATAGATATTTACGTCGGTTCTAGTCGATTCATTTGTGCCAATTATTGCGTTCACGAACGTGCACAAAGTTATGATGTAGACTGTACTTTTTAATTTTTTTTTTTAGAATATAAAGTCAACGATTTTAGTGATATTTATTTATTTATAATAAATCTCTAATAAAGTTATTGAAAAGTTTATGTACAATAATAATGAAAGAACTTTAATTAGCGTGTTTGAAGTGTGTTGTTAAGTGAACAAAAGACAATTAAAGAAATGGAAGTAGCTCAGACACCGTTACAATTGACGCAGGATCATCAAGATGGCCGAATAAGAGGTAATATACTTAGATTATATACGAGTAGATAGAGCATCAAGTCTCAAAAACGGATTAACTTTTTGTCAGCTAATTGTCAAATTAGCCGACTCGTTTTTTTTCATCAGTATTCATTATACTTACGCGTGCAATGTATCTTGACGTATTATTTAATAAATAAAATGTGTGTTTACGCATTAAAAAGATGCAGAAATTATAAGACAAAATAAATATAGAAATTATAAAGGAATCACTCATAATTATTTATCACGTAAAATTGTACGAAAAAGTTGACCCGTTTTTCTCGAAACATTTCTATGGAGATGCTCTATCTATATAATCTAATACATATATTATTGTATTTATTAAAATAAGTATATTATTGTTTTATGTTTACATTTGTCCAGAAATCCGATCTGGCATAGTACTGGTAGATAGAATTTTCGAAAGTAATATACAGCCTATGTCACTTACTGACTATGTAGCTTTCTATAGGTTAAAGATTTTTTAAAAAAAGGTCGAGTAGTTTTTGAATTTATCCATTACAAACAAACAATCAAATCTTTATTCTTTACAATATTTGCATAGATTGCAAAATAGCTTTTTTTTTTGCTCGCCACTTCGTACACGTGAATTTTAAAAGCAGAAAAGCCATTGAAATAGATTATTCTAGATAGCGAATTAAGATAAAACCTTACATTATATAAGTAGATGGAGCATGGAGTCTCAAAAACCGGTCAACTTTTTGTCAGTTAATTTGACAATTAGCTAACAAATCGGGACACAATCGGGACTTAAAGGGACGCGATTACAGGTAAACAGTACCTACATACCTATCTGATATCTGAGTCGTACAATCCACAACGAAACATTGGCAATAAAAATCAGGCGTGTATGCTTTAAATCCAAATTGTGAATATAAAATGTGTAAACAACGCGAAAGTTTCAAATTAACTGTGACATAAACTTCTCCTGATTTTAGTGATTTGGAAACGATGAGTACTTTAAGTCAATTCTTAATTTTTTATTCCGTTAAAATATTGACCTGTACAAAAGATAAAGTATAAAATAAAAGAAAAATCAGACAATAATTATACGTAATCTAGATGTGGAAGTAGATAGGATTTAATTTAGGGATGTAGATAGTGATAAGCTAAAACAATAAGTTAATTTGCTTTATATAAAAAATATTTAGTCTTTAATACAACTTAATATTCTTTTTTCGATTTTAGAAGAAATTCTCGATAAAAATATGTTTAAGTTAATATGATTGTTCCATAACATAATGTGTACATTCGTTCTTGAGTCCATCTCCCATATTTAGAGCTGATCCGTCGCCCGTATCCAATAGCAAGGACGGATCGCTCTGTAAATTAAGCGACCCAGAACTACCAAAAAAAAAAAAACGGTTGTTCTTACATTAAAACGAATAATTGACTGGACCATAAGATATTCTGCTGGTATCGATTCTCTTCGTATCCTTTTTCGTATTCTAAACTTGGAGAAAGTAATTATATTTGATAATTTCATTAAATACCATTGAAACGGTCTATAGCACTAAAAAGCATAATGTGCCAGATTGTCTTGACAAAAGATTGAACATTTAATGCTTAAAGTGCCTAGTTTTTTAACTGAACCGTGGACATTGAACATTTGAACATTCACTATGAAAAAATATCGCGTAGTTTATTGAGCCGTTTTTAATACAGGACGCTCTATCTATACATATTACTGATCTGTTTTAAATTATATATCGAGTTAAGATAATTAAGTAGTTCTTGTTTATGTAGGTTTGTAAAGAGTTACCCAGCGGCATTCGTCAGCCATTCCAAATTTAAAAATTCAATTCAAAATTTTTTACTCGTTTATTGATCAACAATAATTGTCACTGTTGAAGCATTCCCGCCGAAACATGCGAACATTCTTCATGGCTCATGCGATTTTAATACGGCCAAAGGAACATTAGTATTCATCCCCGAACAGCCAGTAACTCGGGGTCTATTTGACTGATTCGCAGCCGCTCCATGATTTGCCACTTTACCCGGTCATCGCGCGTTCTGAATACAAAACAACCAATAGCGAGAGGCGGGATTTGAAATTTCATTTTCGTTCTAGAATTATGTGTTCGCGTTTTGAATATTAGGGTTTTACTGGGTGTCTGGATTTAGCTGGAGTTCATAATTTCGCGGGCTACCAGTGAATGTTGATGGATGAGAATGAAGTCTGACCAGTTGGATTATGATGACGAATATGCATACTCACGTGACATGGGCGGAAAGGGATTGTTGGTAATGGAGACTGAGAATCCCATTGCTAGCAATATACCCAACCAGGTCGACCTTCTCGCGGTTCTCCCTGGAAACTATCATGGTACATTCCTGGTGAATTCATCATGATGGGCTAACTGGCCTGTTTTCATTCTCATTTATCACCCTTCACTGGTGCTCCGCCAGCGTATCCCGTTAGCGCAGGCGGGGTTACCATACCATTTTCACCCATCAAAAAAAAACCCCTAGCATTGCATCCGTAAGATACAGTGACTGTTTTCCATTAGACGGGCTGCATAAGTTTGTTTGCTAGCTTCGCGATGTAAAATACATCAACAATCAACCATGACGGTTTCCATTATATGATTTAGCTGATCAGCTAAACACAACAACTAACTTACCTGATTTCATTCTCACTTATCATCTCTCACTAGTATCTTGTCAACGTATAGTGATAGCTCAGGCATGGTTACCATTCCATCATCATCTTAGTAGCGACTCGTGCTCCAAATGTGATTTTACAAACGTTTGCTTTCAACAAACCTAATATTACAAAACAAAATAGTTTTACCCAAATAGGTGCAGTTGTTCTGAAGTGACACGCTTACATAGATAGGTACATTCTAGAGTTGATTTTAATTTATATAAATTAAAAATACATCCTGTTAGAATATATATAATTTTATATGATTATCAGTCTTTAACTGTCCATTGTTAAACATAAGCTTCCCCCATAAAAGGAGGTTTTGCCATTATGCCATTAGTTGCCACGCTTGGCAGGCGGATTTTTTTTATATTGGATGAAAATGGAGTGGTAACTTCGCCTGCGCTAATGGGATACGCTGGCGGGGCACCAGTGAAGGGTGGTAGATGAGAATGAAAACAGGCCAGTTAGCCCATCATGATGAATTCATCAGGAATTAATCATGATAGTTTTCAGGCGGAACCGCGAGGAGGTCGACCTGGTTGGATATATTGCTAGCAATTGGATTCTTAGTCTCCATTACTAACAATCCCTTTTCCCCCCCGGCAGGCGGGTTGGCAACCGCAGATAGGCTTTGATGTTTTAAGGGGGACGTGAATCTGAATATACTGATGCACGTAGGCAAAGTCGCGAGTCGGCTAGTATATTTTATTACTTTACTCGATACAAAAAATCTTGTATCTAATCGTATATATACATATATATATACACACACACACACACACACACATTTATATTATAGTTGAAACAACCAACAATTCCTCCGTAATAAGCACAGACATCCAATATTTCATGGACGTGGCAATAGAACGGAGAGAAGACATAAAAGGAAATTTTATAAGACACATAAAAAGTTCCACCAAATTGGAAGTCAGGGTGCGCCGGGACGGGGCGGCGCGAGTAAATCCCGGTATCAAGATAAATCAATGTTTGTTTGTGCCCGAGTACGGCATTTACTAAGGACAGGGAGCGGCGTGGAGTTACCGAAATATATTCGTTCGTCAAATAGTATAAGAAAACTTGAAAGCGTTAAATCTAATCTTTTAAATCGAAATTTTGTAAAAAGTTTAAATGTCTGTTACTTAATTACCCTTAAACGGCTTAACAGATCCGAATGGATTTAACATATAGGATTTTTTTGTACTCTATATTATATACAAAACAAATAACAGAGTGTATCTTAATAAATTTGCTTGAGGAGATGGGATTGGGATCTATTATTATTATTATTTCAGCTGGTAACTGACCATTGCTGGACAAGTCTCCATGGGAATTTTTTCAGTAGTTGCCACGCTTGGCAGACATGTTGGCAACCGCAGTTAGGCTTTTAGAAATGTTTTAAGAGGGACGCTGCTGCCCACTCTTCGACCTCCCTTAGTTACGACTTAATCACGAAAGGAAGGGGTGGCCCGTTCTATGCTGGGGCACACACGATGATATGAGGTCTAACTTCCCCCTTACTAGCAATACACATTATCAGGTCGACCTCCACGCGGTACCTCCTGGAAATTATCATGGTTAGTTCTTGTGAAATTCGTCACCATAGGCCAATTGACCTGCTTCATCCTTACCTATCATCATTGATATGTATATCGAGGGCACAGGCGGGGTTACCATTTCATTGAACTGTTTGTCTGTTTTTTTTTTTTATGCTATATTAATCCTAATTTGGAAGAAAGTGATAAAATAGTTCAGTAGTTAAAATAGATTTTGTATTAGGTTTTAGTCTTTATGAATAAGAGAGTTAGTAATTTTGGCAGTGCGTTGATAGAGAGTCAGGACAAATGATTTTAAATCGACTTTAAAAAAGGACAACGTTAAAAAACGACAACAGAATAACAGAAATCGAAAAAATGCAATTTCTCAGTTGCATTTTTTTATGTTTGTTACCTCATAACTCTTACAGTTATAAAATGATTTGCAAAATTTCCAACCATCTGGACGAGTGGCGGTCCTCCACCGTGCGTTTTTTCTTTGCTTTCTCCCACGCACAACCATTCTTTGGAATCAACTTCCAGCGGCAGTATTTCCAAACCGATACGACAACATAAATTTCAAGAAAAGAGCATATTCCCTTTTAAAAGGCCGGCAGCACACCTGCAATGCCGTTGGTGTTGTGGGTGACCATGGGCGGCGGTAGTCACTTACCATCAGCTGAGCCGCATGCTCGTTTGCCGCCTGTGTTGTAAAAAAAAAGATTTTTCAAGCTGTAATGCAAAACTATGCAATGCTATGCTATAAACCGCAGAATGTAAAAGTAAAAATATAGT